GCCGAGATGTCTCGGCCACACCCCAGATTGGCCACCGCCGAGATGTCTCGGCCACACCCCAGATTGGCCACGGCCGAGATGTCTCGGTCACACCCCAGATTGGCCACCGCCGAGATGTCTCGGCCACACCCCAGATTGGCCATGGCCCAGATATATCGGCCAAACCCCGGCGTGGCCCGACCATGATTTTTTTTTTTTTTTTTTTTTTTTTTTTAATTTCGTTTCAGCCGCCGCGCGGCCATAACGACGGATTAAAAAAAAAAAAAAGACAAAAGTGCCTGTTTGGAACAGGCACCATGTGTATAACGCGGGCCACTGTTATTATTGCCGTTTTGAACTAAGGTCGGGACGAACCTGCGGATGACTGTTTTTTTTGCCCATTCAAAACGTGGGTTGTGACCCACGAGCCGTTGCCCCAAAAAAGAATGGTATGTGCCATGTGGTGGTGGGGGTTTTGTGTCAGGATGAAGACTTCCCACCTAGATAGTGGACACACATATAAACTCACCACCTACATTTCTACGTCTATGCAAGGTAATGGAAAAATGCCAATGTTTGAACTTCGAATTGGTCTGCCATAGCAGCCTTCCTGACTTCCCCACTGCAGCTGAAGATGCTATATACTCAGGCTGCCATGCGGATGTGAGGAGTGCGCTGTTGCAAGCTGATCTGATTCAAGTTCACTTCTATAAAGCTCGTCATTTTGGTGGGGATGGGTTTGTTCTGATTGATTGTTTGGACTCCCCTCACCGGAGTCACCGTCCTCAGGTAATCCTTCATGATTGTCTGGACTCCCCTCACCGCCCTCAGATAATCCCTCAGCACATGCCACATGGAACCACCGCTATAACTGTCGTTGGTGCAAAGCAGGGAACTCATGCTTGTGGCGATGATTGGCACTGCGACATCAGGGCACACTGTGCTTTCTGAAAATCAATGCCTGTAATAGGAAAGCTTCTTTATCCCCATTCCCCCGCCTCCACCGCCCTCCGGTGACGACTGATCTGATGGAGGCTACGCCAGCGGAATATCTCACCCCTTCTTTTTTAATTAGAACGTAGCGGAGCCCCTTTTTGTCTTCCAGGCCCGATGAACCTCCCTTCCCCTTCTTTTTCTTTGGCCAATCCCTGCCCCTTCTTTTTCTTTGGCCAATTGGTGACTGCCCATCAGCTGGTCCTTTCTCCTCCCCAATCTAGTGAAAGCCTTCCCTCCTATGCTCCTCAGAGGCCCTCGTATGCTCCCAAACTATCTCTTCTCTCCCTTCTAAACTATTTAGGTATCCTTTGCACCTCGGACTGATGCAAGAAATTCCGGTCCTGTCTCGGATTTCAACCCCCTTGCCTAAAATCCCCGGCTGTGGCCCATACTCTTAATATAGTCGTAACCCACACGGGTATGAAATACTAAGAAATGCTGCATCGGGCGCGAGGTTGTGCAGCACAGGCCACTTGATACCCACATGTTCCATTTCTGATCATGACCATGATAGATGAATGGCCTGAAATACTGTCCGTGCAACTCCAGCAAGTGAAGTGGCCTGAAATTATACTGTCCAGGCAACTCCAGAACAAGGTTCAAATGGCAACTTGAAGGTACAGAGAGCTGAGAGAGGGTTAGAATAGGGGGCCCAAAAGGTCCACATGTAGAGAAAAAACCTTCTCGGTGTCGAGTTTAGTTTATCGGGCCTAGCGTCCGGGTTACTATGCATGTTTTTTTTTTTTGGGTTCCCCTCCTTTTC